AACCTGCCCGGAGCGGCCATGGCTTCACTCCCACATCTGTGCGGCCCAGGCAGCTCTCCACCCTTCTCTGGGCCTAAGTCCTGGTCACAGACACAGCCCACAGTGCAGCCCTCCCGCCCCCGGGCAGGCCTGTCTATGGTGGAGACCAAAGCTGTGAAGCTCGGGGACTCAGGTCCTGGGAGGTGACGGACATCTGGGAGGCTGGCCCACACTGCCCACTCCTGGGCACCGCCTTGCACAGGCTCACCGTTTGGGGTACCAGTGAGCTTCCAGATGCCACATGGACCAGGAGCAAGACAGGGAGGTGACTCCCCATGCAGGGGCATAATGGAGGCTCAGCTCCCTGCCCAGGCCTGCAGCTACCAGACTAGAAGCCTGGTCCTGTGGGTCCAGCTGGTGATGGCCCCCACCCTGGCCCCTACCCCTCACCTGAGCACAAAGAACCTCTGGGGGAGGGTGGTGCTCTGGAGCCAGGCATCGGCGGTTGGATGCAGAGGGTTGTAACCAGGTGGCAGACACTAGCCGTCTCAGCCCACTGAGCATGTCCGTCCTTGCAGCTGAGCCCTGGGGCACCGGGGTGGTGCAGGGTTGGAGCGCCAGGGTCCCCGCTCACCTCCACGCCTCACCAGCACCCTGTCTGTGCAGCCACCCCCTCCTGCAGTGACGCTCACAGGGCAGCGTAGGGGAGGGGCTGGAGCTGTGCCAGGTGACGCTACTATATTGGCCCCTGGGGCCCCAGCACAGTGGCACCTGCTCCTCAGCCCCAGGAGAGTGAGATGTTGAGCGCATGGTTGGTAGCTACACAGCGTAACCCCTTCCCACGGAGGGGCTGTGCCTCGAGGGCTGTATGTGCGTTCGTACACAGGTATCTCTGCCTTCATTGTGTGTGCGTGTCTGCGTGTGCACACAGGTGCCTGTATGCGTGTGCCTGGGAGCATGCACATCGTTGTGCACGTGTGCCCCCTGCAGGGACGTTAGCCACATGTGGACTCAGGGTGGTGCCGAGGTTTGGTGACGTCTGTGGCAGTCTCTGTTCTGTGGGTGCTGGAGCAGAGCCAGGCAGGCGTAGACACACCCCTGAGTACCAGGAGCAGGGAGGGCATGTGGGCACCAGGTGGGCAGCCTGGATGGTGGAGCGTGTGCCACGCATGCTCTGGGGCCAGTCCACCAAGCAGACCTCCAAGGCTGAACAGGACGGATGACCACAGGAGGGACTTCCCGACCTGCCTACAGCCCGGGTTCAGCGGCCTGATGACCGCCACCTGCATCACAGGCCGCCTGTGCCCAGCAAGCCAGCGTCACGGCCAAGCAGAGGCACTGACCTGAGCCTGTGGGCTGACAGCTGGGGGGATTGCTCTTGGTCCTCCACAGGCCCCATGGGAGTCCAGGTTTTGGCTGAGGGCTCTACACAGTGAGGGATTTTGGGGGAGCGGGATGTCATACAGTGGTGGGGTCTTCCTGCTTCCAGGGCGGGAGACTCCCACAGTTAGAGTGGGTGGGAGCAGGAAGCAGCCAGCGAGCACAGGAGGCCACATGCTGGCCGGTGCAGGCTAAGCCTCCAGGGCAGCCCCAGGCCCAGGCCCAAATAACCTCAGCAACAGAGCACCTGCTGGGCTGTAGAGCCACAGCCTGCCCAGCTCTTCCAAGCACTGCCTCCCTCAGCGAGTCGGCCTCGGCTCATGGCCCAGCTTCCGTGCCTCTTTCACAGAAGAAACTCAGACTCAGAGAGGCTGAGCAACTTGCCTGTGGCCACATAGCAGTGAGTGAGAAGCATGACCAGATCCTGTGGCCAGGCTGAAAACCTGTGTGCTGTAGGGGGGCCTGTGGGTATGGGTGGAGGCAGGGGCAGAAGGGGAAAGGTGGGGCAGGTCTCAGCAAGGTGATGTGTCCTCAGGTAGAAGGTTCAGCAAGTGTGAAAACGAGGAAGCAGGTGTGCTGGGATGGGGACTGGTGATGCTATCCCATCACACCCCGCCAGTCACGCTGGGTAACCACAGTGACCATCTGACCGTCTGGGTGACCACTGTGGGCATCCTGTGGGCCCCTCTGGTTTGCTCCAGCCCTTCCTGTTACAGATGAGGAAACTGATGCAGGAAGCAGGCCTCTGCAGAGACCCTGTGGTGGCTACTTCTGGCTCCATCCCACTGAGATCCTGACGTGGTCACAGGTAGGTCCAGCCCAGGAACCCCATGACAGGACCTGTGTCAACTGGTGAGAGGAGGGGTCTGGCCCAGCTGGGTGCAAGGATGTGGCATGTGACCTCAGTCTGGTTGGTGGCCCAGGCGACAGCCCTCCCGTGGCGTTCTGACACGGTGGAAGGCCCCAAGACCAGATTGATGGTGGCCACGGTAGTAGCTCTTTCTATCAGGGACTCTGGTGAGACTAGTTGGATGTTCCAATGTTTTCTGTTGGGAGGGCCAGGGATCCTCCGACCAGGGCAGGAGTGTACCCACCGCATCGGGGTACAGGGTAGCAGCCAGGACCTTGAGGTCAGTCCTGGGTCCTGCAGGAGGGCTTGGGACGGAGGCCTACCTGGTGCAGGAGTCTGACCTCCCCTGTAACCCCCACATCAGAATTATTCATGGCTGTTCACAGGGTTAGTCACTGAGCCTTTATTCTAAGTCCTGGAGCCCTGTGGCAGCTGGAATGATGTGGGCGTGTTGTAGGGGACAGAGGAGGCGGGAGCTGGGCTGCCCTTGCTCCTAGGCTAAGGTCTGATAACCAGGGGCTGTGTGGGAGGCCCCCCCAGAGCACCTACATCAGGCCAGAAGGGACGGCCCCGACCCACCCTCATGTGTGATGATTAGGATGCGGGTGGAGGTGGGAGACCCATGGACAGAGTTTGGCAGAAGCCAAGGCACAAAGCAGGACTGGCCGGGCAGGGGACCAGTCAGGGTTTGCAGGTGGAGCGGGCTCAGCCAAGCTGGGGTGATGGCACAGAGGGTGTGAACAGAGGAAGGAGCCAGGTGCTCTGGGGGTTGACAAGGGGCCCAGCAAGGGATGACCCGAGTCCTTTTCCAGGGCAACCCCCGGGCACGACTACAGACAAGCCCTGGGGGTAAAGCTTTGGAGTCCGAAAGGTGTCTGGGGAGGACTGGCAGGCCTTAGTTCCTTTTGGGGGGCTGGTCCTACCACCCTGAGTTCATCCTCCATAATCGTGGCGGCCTGGCTCCCCCTACTGGCCGTGGGTCCCTCTTCAGGTTTGGCTGCTACAGTTGGGGTGGGGTCAGTGCTCTGTGGCTGGGACACCTCCGCCTCCCGATAGGCTTAGGGTTCTGGCCCGCAGTCCCCGTCCACCTGGAGGTTCGTCTTCACTCAAACATCAGGCCCACACTCTCAGTTGTCTGGCTCCAGTGTCCACTCTGACAGCCACTGAAGATATGAGGCCCGCTGAGCCTCTGTCTCAGGGGGACGGGGAGGGGGCGGTGGGGGCCGGCCTGGCCCGGGCAGGTGCGTGGAGGGGCTGCAGGGCCCAGGGCCCCCTTCTGTGGGTTCAGGGTCCTGGGAAGCCCGCAGGACTTGGACAAGCTGGTCCAGTGGCTGTACCAGGGTGTGAGGGCTCCAGCAGGTGTCAAGGGTGGGCACGAAAGGGTCTGGTGTACAGGCCTCCACACACTCGGCCTGGGTGGGTATCCGCAGGTAGAAGGCATGCAACATCATGCGGAACGGTTGGTCCTCCTGTCCGGAGGCCTGTCCATAGGTCAGGTCCCCCACAATGGGGTGGCCGAGGGCACTGCAGTGTACACGCAGCTGGTGCGTCCGGCCTGTGTGGGGAGAGAGGGCCAGTGAGGCAGGGGTGCCACTCCCTGACCACCACCCACCGTTCATGTCACTGTCCCCAGCTGCCAACTCAGCGGCACAGGCA